GTTGGTTTCTATGTAAACCAATATTAAAGTCTAATATCTTAATGCACCATTTTCGCAACTTTTTCACCATTTCGGATAAATGATAATATATCGTATTTCTTATTCGCTCTGTGCAGTCGGTTGGAGGGGATAGCTACGAGCTACGGAAGCGCTCCGGTGAGAGAATAGTGAACTCAGGGTGGAATATTTTCCTATTCAACTAGGCTTATTATTATTAAAAATGGGTCATCGTAGTTGTTGCGTCAGAAATTGTAAAAATAATGAACTGAAGAATACGTGTAAATTTTATAAATTCCCTACTGCCGACTATAAATTAAAGCAGCGAAAGAAATGGATTGCAGCTGTAAGGAAAATTAAGTAAGTACATAATCTTATTCGTCTGCTTTATACATAGGCTTCATAACGTCTGCTCCAAAGCTTCTGCACGTAATGCTTTGTTTACATTAATTTATTAATTATGTAATGTAATTTTAGTTCTTATAAGTGGCAACCAAAGAAATCAGATGTAATATGCTCTGATCATTTTATTGGCAAAATAAAATCGAATGAAGAAGCAAGTCTTGGATATGTTCCCTCAGTATTCTGTGCTGAGAGAACAAGAAATATTCGTGAAGTTGCTGCAGTAAACAGGTACGAATTAAAGGGACAGATGAATATTTGTGTTGCAAATATGCAAAATATATTTACTATTCTTTTTTTTTTCAGACATGCTCGATTCATGAAACGCAGATTTATAACTAAGCAAAAATTGCAAACTATGAGTACAAATCAAGATGAACCTGTGAAAGGAAATGTAATTGAACATGATATGATCAGTGATATGGATGTGCGTTATGAAGATTCAGTACTTGATAATGTCGAAGTGCAGTCGGAGAGTCCAAAGTATCTGGATAAAGAGACTGAAGCACATATTTTTATTGAGGCTAGCGAGCCAGAAAAATCATTTATGTGTAATAGATATATTACTAATGGTTCTAATTGTAAGTGTGACGCAGAAGTACAAACAGATATAGTAACAGTAAATCATCAAACCATAATATTAAATCCAAGGAAATTCAGAAATAAGAAATGTGGTACGACTCAACAGACTTTTGTAAATAGAGCAGTTGGACCTGACTATGAAAGTGTGCAAGATAACGATACAACTTGTTTAAGCTATGCATCAGTAAAAAAAGATGAACAGCTTCTGGATCTTGCTGGAGTGACACACAACAATTTTAAATTTTTGTTAAAAAGAATCCATGACGCAACTGGCAGTAATACTAAAATTTCAAAGGAAAATAGATTATTTATATTTTTAATAAAAATGAAGACAGGATTAACTTTTTCAGCAATCAGTGTGTTGTTTAATGTACATAGGACAACTGTGTCAAGAATATTTTTTTCAGTATTGGAAGAATTAGCAAAGACCACAGCTAATTTAGTTTTTTGGCCTGCAAAAGATGTCATTCAAGGAACGATGCCAGACTGCTTTTATCCGGAATATAAAGACACTCGAGTAATCATTGACTGTACTGAATTCAGGATTGAAGTACCAGCAAGTGTTGACAATCGTGTGTTTACCTACTCACATTATAAAAAAGGTTTTACTGCCAAACTGTTAATAGGTATAACACCCGGAGGCTTTATTAGTTTTAAATCGAAGGTCGCTGGTGGTAGAAAGAGTGATTCACAAATCACTATTGAATCCGGACTAATAGATTTGTTAGAAGATGGAGACACAGTTTTAGCCGATAAAGGATTTCCACAAATCACTCGTGTTCTCGATGAAAAAGGAAAGAAAGTAGTACTTGTTATGCCACCTTTTTTAGAAAAAAAAGGAGAATTTACAAAAGAAGAGACTCAAAATACCTACAACATAGCAAGAGTTCGTATCCATGTTGAAAGAATAATGCAGCGATTGAGAATATACCAAATTCTCAGCAAGATACCTGAAAATTTATTTAGTTCTATTGATGATATTGTCCATGTGTGCTGCGTGTTAGTAAATTTGCAGCCACCTATAATAGAAGAAAAGGACAATAACAAGTAAATAAAAATACTTGTATATAAATGAAATATTTATTTATACTGACTTTGTTAAGAAATAATTTTAACAACACTTTGCATTTTTAGTTTCTTATTAAAAAACAATCTTAAACTTTTGAGTTACGCAGGTACTTAAATGTACAACTTGTTAATAAATAAACACTTTGCATTTCTAGTCTCTTATTAAAAAACAATCTTAAACTTTTGAGTTACGCAGGTACTTAAACGTACAACTTATACATATATAAAACTATATAAAACTACATACTATTGCTTATATCAAAACCATTGAAGCATCGCTTTGGCTGTTTGCTCTTTGTATTTGCACTTTTAACTGTTTTTTCAATCAATTTAACTAAATAATGCTGAAAATAAAAATCTTCACACATTGGAATCACTTTTTTTAAGAAATTTTCATTTCTTTGGACAGTTACACGTACAACAGCAACCATTTTTTACAGGAGAGTAAATAAACAGATCACATTCCTTCATACCCGACACGTACATTTGAGTTTGGCATTGTGTATAATACTGAACTGATGTCTTCAAACGTACTTCATTTCCTTCAAAGACTAAGTATTTGACATTACACTTTTTATTTTCAAAGTCGACAACAGGCATTTTTTCACAGGTTATCGGACATTTGAATTCAACTATCTTCTTAACACATCCACTTATAGTAACTACACCGTCAAGGCTAGCACATAGCCATGGTTGTTTCTCACAGACTAGCAATCCAACTTTTTTTACATTTACTTTAAACATATTCTCGTATTCTGTCATTGCATCCACTTCATGTTTTATCCCATAACGAGTCCCAGGAGTATCAACTTTTTTTGACTCTAGCATTTCAGAAACTAGTTTCTCTATCGTCTTCTTATTTCTGATTTTGATACTATGGATATTCGTACTAGCAGACAGTCTGATGCTTCTAGCTTGAAACCATTTATCGCACTTTGACTGTTCTAAGGTGTCACAACATAATTGAACAATTTCCTTCCTTGTTAATAATATCGATGCACAGTAAAAATTTTTCGCATACTCTTGCACTTGTTGTTCCTTCATATATACCATACAATTATCACACAATGTAAAAAATGTATTCAAACAGGATGCACAATCTTCTTTTTGGAGATTCCTTTCAACTTCGGTTAACATAAAATCCATGAGGCTTTGTATCGCTTTTTGATTTTTATCTTTTTTGATCTCGAGCAAGATAGTTTTTAAAGGTGAAGGATCTGGTAACTCAGTCATATTCACTTCTACAGGTTTTACATTAAATTTGTTTGTAGGCGGAAACATATCACAAAAATATTTTCCCTTAGAATATTTTTCTTTTGTAAGTTGGTGCGTTGTGGGCTTTCCCCATTGCTGTTCAAAATCTGTCTTGCTCAAACTTTCTTCATTATTAATATAATGAATGAGAGCAGCTATATGTTTACATTTTCCGCTCTTGTTGTAAACACATGTGCATGAAACAAGAGTTACCTTACGATCAGCATCAATCTAGAAATATTTACATAAAATTGTTGATGTAATGTACATAGATTCATGTAATTAATAGAAATATTTTTAAAGTTACATTTAACTTTGTACGGTATGGTTGAGATGACACTGAAGTTTGTCTTATGACTTGAGCTTCAATAAGGTAACTTTGATTATTTCGCCTACATTCCTTAACATCGCAAACATGACCAGCATTAACTAGTTGCTTCCCTTTTGGAATAGTTTCCGGTTGAAAGAGTATTTCATGGGTAACTTTTTGAAATCCAGTTGTTATCACAATCTCCATTTTTTATCCATAACAAATACAGCAGTTGCTGCAACTTGGAATAGAAATCTGGAAAAATATTTTTTTTTTTCAATATAACGTATGAAAAAGTAACTTTATTGAATCTACATTTTTTGCTTTTTATTATTGACATTTTTTAAAGCAATATTTAATTAGCACTAGTTATTATTTATTGTTTTCTGATATAAAAAATAGGAGTTCCAGTAATTAAAGTGACATAAATACCGCTGTGCAATACCGCTGTTATATAGTCCTCCAATTATATAGTGTGGCGATTATCGCCATATGAACTGGCCGGCGAAACAGTCGAATTGAAAGTAATAACGAGGTCGAAAAATAGCGAAAGACGTTAGATAAGAAAAACATAAATACAGGCAACAATAAGCGGGAACGTTACAGGCATAACACAAACGATAACTAATAACATCAAAATAGTAACAATCATAGATTATGCGCGTATAGCAATTTTTACTTACCGAAATTATTAACAGTAAAATGTAAAAAAATACACTGCATCTATTGCACAAGAAGCTTTGGTAATAATCACACGTTAAAGTTGTTTTTTCTATTTTTTTTTGCAAACTGCCTGTAAACATATCTCGTTGTTTCCACTTTTATTTGCATGGCGATAGCGGTAGATGGCGCGACCTGAAACGCACGGAGCGAACACGGACAGAGGAAAGGCTTGCGCGACCAGCATATCCCCTCCATCTGAGTAGTTCGGACACGAACCATAGCATGGATACGAACCCATGTATCGTTACCCGAGTCCTCTCTGATCATTACCGAGCGTAACGCCGTAGTTGACGTCCACTTTCTCAGAGGGCAGATTAGGACAGACGTCCCGCGTCCTCTAGAGACCAAGGGGATGCTGGAGCCGTAGCCGAACTCGATCGGCGTCGGTAAAGAAGACCGGCGAACTCTGTCCTTGTATAAACAAAGATATAGACAAGAATAGCACGCTACATTGCACGCACACATACGCACGATGCACGTCGACATTATACTTTTATATTACGCTTTCAAATCTTGATTTGGAGGGTTTATCGATGTTTTTCTTGTTGTGCAATTCGGGGGAACTTGTTTTCGCGTTCGTACCAATGGTATATCTCTTATATGAAATACATCTTGTGACGAGCTGACAGCTTGCCGCAACTCGAGACGCCATATTGGGATAAAAGTAGGATAAGGAAATCTGTACTTCCGTAATTTTTTCTCGTTTTCTATATAAAATCGGAGTTCCCCCAAATCATTAATGTATGTACTGCAATTCTGGAGAAGGATTTTTGATTCTGTCAAATTAATACGACGTTACGTGCCGACAAAAAATGCCGGTAAAACAGACGGCTCCAGCATCCCCTTAATAAGAGTCTGGCCATCAGAAATCTGATTTTAGAGCGTTTTGATTGGTCCGCCATTTTTTCTCTAATCTGAGTGGGGGTAGCTTTAGAGCATGCGTATAATTATAAACGTATTCAATTTACTGACTAGACCCGACTCCAAGTCAGGAAATTGAGTACGCTATATTATCACTATAAGCTCAAAGTGAAAATTTAACCATTCGATGATCAAGGAATAAATTAAAAGAATAAAATGTAACAATTTGTTTTATTTTATTGCACTGTAACAATTTGTTTTATTTTATTGCACTGTGCATCGCCATTGACTTACTGTCATAATATTTACGTTTAACAATTGTTTTGTTATTCATTATCCTCATTCTGTAAATTGCATATCTATTTGCTATCTTTAAATGTAAATTATGACACAACAAAATATGATTGTTACTCAAAATATCTAAAAATGTAGCAACTAAAAAGTTTTTGTAACCACGATTGTTATTGCACGATTTCTGATACCGCCTAAACATATACTTTATTTTTTTAAATAACTGAAATGTTTGATTGTTTACATAAAACAATGTGTTGTTTTTATAACTTCGCAATCGTACTAATCGCGCATATTGGGACAAATTTCGATGAGTAGAACCTAAACTTCCAATACAATGCTTACAAAGTTTTGTATTTTTTTTTAATGCTTGTTACAATGTATCCAGCGATACTATATAAAATATTACATTCTACAGTATTCAATTCTTCTACTTCCTGAGTTGTTGGTTCGTACGATAGATTGGCATTTGATTCATTACGAGACTCACATTTGTGTTCAGCAATTACATCAAGAAAACCTGTTACATATCGCGCATCATCTTCGTAATTAGCTCGAGAAATTGAACGCATATATAAAGAAGTGGCAATTAATTTAAGATTATTTTTAAATTGTAAAGCATTTAATGTAACATTTTTACTTCGAAGAACAGAAAAAAGATTCTCTACGCAGTCTTGCGTAAGTCTACCTGTCAGTAAGAATTGAAATTTTCTCTCACGAAACAGATAATCTGCCAATTCTAAAATAGATTTAGTTGAAATAATAACTCCCTTCTGAACAGGTTTAAAATCTTCTTTGTTACCAATATGAAGATTACTAAATATCTCTATAATTTCATTTAAAAATGAAACAGTATCTTTATATTTCTCCAAGTCTTTTGTACCCAAAGAAATGCAGCAGTGCCTTGAAGTCATAATCGTATACCATTTTACTATCATTTTAACAAAAAATGCTGTAGCAATGTATTCTAGTTTTGAATTTTTATCGGCTAAAAGCTCCAAAGCAGTGCTCATTTCATGACTCAATAAATTTTTCGTTTTATTGACGCGCATTTTATCGAAATTATTCTTCGTATTGACATCGTTTATACTTAATTTTGGCGTTAATAAAAATTGAAGTTCTTTTTGTGCTAAAATAATTTCTTCGAAGTGTTTTGCTTGTACCATATCTGTTGGCAAATTATATTTACGTACAATATTTTTAGGTAGTAAGAGGAACTTATTATTTAAAATACACGCTTTTAAATTTTTTAATAAGTGGGGCACATCCGCGATAACATGCAAATTACGATTAGAGTCAACTGGATGTGTGACATAATTTATACATTTGGTGTACTTTCCAGCCGTAATCCCAAACGCTTTCCATAAACCCTGATTGCAAGATCCCATGTCGGAGGTAATGGAATTTACGGTAAGACCTATTGAGTTGGCTCTGTGAAGTATATCAACTATTATTGGTTGCAATATAGCGCCATTAAACCCATCACTTGTAAAATAATAACCAATAATTTGTTTCCAACGACATGCAATACCGCATAACATAAATACCATAGCGTGTAACGCTATACCTGTATGTTCTGGTAAAGTTACATCACCAATGTAACTTTGAGAAGAATTATCAAAAAATTTTCCTGATGAAATGCTGATTTCATCATATACTAAACAACATTCTTTATCAATTTCGTTCCAATTCGACATCTTCAATTTTAAAAAATTGAAAATATCGTCCGAAATTCCGCTTTCAAATTTAAAGTTTTCTATTTTTCTTCGTAACGTTCTAAGTCCTGGCAACGGAAATTTCTGGCGACGAAGTTCTTCGTAACCGGTGATGCCACAAGAAAACCTTAATTGAAGTGCTTTCATGATCGATTTGTTGCTCCATTTCTTTGCTTTTTTATTGTTCTTTAAAACTGCAATTTGATCGTCAGTGAAGATTTCTTGTAGCTTACTTAACAGAGCTGTATAATTAGATTGCTCTTTTTGTTTCTTTTTCAATTTTAAGTCATGTCGTACAGTAAGCAAGCATTTTTTAAATTTTCTTAGTCTAACATTCTGCTTTTTAATTATACGTGATTGTTCACATATAATTTGATTCTGTTTTTTTATTGTACGCGACATGTTTTTAACTTCACTATTTTCTTTTTTACTTTTGGCACTTTCTAATTGCAGTTCATTCTCGCAATCGTTATTTTCTTCTTCATTTTGTACTGATACAATACTTTGTACTGGCACATTATGTTCGTTAACACAGCCTACCTCATCATTCAGTGAAGTATGTCTCATGTTTTCACGGTGACTTTTCTGAAATCAAATATTTAAGATTTACCATTACTAATTTACAATTTTTAAATAAATATATAATGCTTTTCCATAAATTTGCATCTGCCTCTTATATGCTTTTGATTTTTAGAACTTACGATCTTCTTGGCTTTACTTCCGAATATCGTTGGCACAGCATTTATCTTAAGCTTTCTTTTTCCGTCAACTCGGTTATTTTCCCACATATCGTGTGCGAAATGTACCTGAAATAATAAATAGTAAAATCTTAAATATTTCATTTTAGAGTCACGATAAAAACATTAAACATGCTTCATGAGGTATAAATAATTGTATAAATAAATCAATTGTATAAATAATCCTGAACATACTTCACAAAGAAATGATCTTTCAGTAGGTATCCACTCTTTTCTATTAACATTTGCTGCCCATTGAGCACGCCGAACTGGATCTCGGGGAAAAATTTTCATTATAAATCCCTTTTCGTCAGAATTTGTGCAGTCAGGAGCTACACAACCAGTCATGTTGCTGAAATATTCAATAACTACATAAATGATTTATAGATAAATCAGAAAAAATAACATTTATTATTAAACTATTACATGTAATACATACTGGATGAATTTATAATTAATTTTGAAGTTTTTATTACTGATGACAGTAAGTTTATTTAATTTATATCTTAAACGTAAGGTTATATTGTTTCATACAGATATTTTACAATAATGTAAAATTAAAAATACTTACCTAATAATCTGAATATAACAATCCTCTAATAGATAATATGTATAACTTTCTTTTCAATTACGACACTGATTCCACGATGCATCTTCTTCTTCTTCTATTTCGTTGGCTCCTGCCTCTTTTCAGAGGACAATACGGCCAGTATTTGCCACTGTTTGTTAGACAAAGTCTGGAACACTGTTAGCGTAGCAAAGTCTGAATAAAAATACCAAAAATCTGAATATACTGCTGATACTGCAGACAGTAACGGTCGCAATAAATTCCACGACCACGATGCAGACTGAGGTTAGATCATCGACATATAGCAACATATAGTATAGACTGCGCATGATATTACGTCATATTACTACGTCATTAGAGAAAAAATGGCGGACCAATCATAATGCTTGAAATCGAAACATCGAAATACGTGATGATGGCCAGACATCAGAGAGAAACCTGAGAGAGGCCATCCGGCTTCTGAATGAAACTCAATATTTGGCATCAATTTGGTGTTAGGTTTAGTCAACAAACTTTAACAGCAATTTGATGCCAATTTGTTATCAGGTAGTTGCTAAGCTTTGCTCGGTATTTGGCGTCAATTTGTTCTCAAGCTTTGTCACCAAAATTTGCTCAATATTTGGCATTAATTTGGCGTTAGATTTTGTCAACTAATTTTAGCGGCAATTTGATGCCAATTTGTTATCAAGTACTACTAAAAGCTTTGCTCGATATTTGGTATCAATTTGGTGTCAATTGTGTACGCATATATGTTTTGCTACGTATTTGCTAGCAGTTTGTCGACAACATTTGATAAAACAAATTTTAATGCATATTTGTACCATTTCTGAAACCAAAATTTGTAGCAAGTATTTGGCATTATTTCTTCGAACAGACTTGGCTATCTGGGTTGAGATTCGCCGCCATATTGATGATGCATGACGCACCGCTTGACTGTTTTCCGTCTTTTTTATAAGTCGACTATTTATAAGTCGACTTTTAGTCGACTTCGATGGCTGGATTCGGGGAGCGCGCTATTAGCGCTATTTGCTTATTCTATCCTTGTTTTACATCTGATGAGCAATAAAGACAGAATGATGCAATAGCGCTAATAGCGCGCTTCTCGAATGCAGCCTATAAGTCGACTATTTAAAAGTCGACTTTCCGTCGACTTCTATAAGTCGACTATTTAGAAGTCGACTTTTAGTCGACTTTCCGTCATTTTTAGAAGTCGACTGGAAGTCGGCTTATAAAAGTCAACTTGCCGTCGACTTTCCGTCAACTGTGCTCTTAGAACTAATCAGATTAATGTAAAGACGAAGGTAAAATTAATATTGAAGAGTATTATACATTTCGCGAATCAATAAAATATCGTCTAAAAAGAATTATTTTTTAATTTATGTTTTTACATAAACGCGTCATAACCCCCTTTTCTCTCTCTCCCGTACCATGTGCACAGGGCGGACGAAAATCAAGCGGGATGCGTTATGCGGGATAGCTCTGATTGGTTGTTGCTATGACGGACGCCTATCCCGCATCACGCATGACGCATCATGTGACCGCAGCCTAAACGTCAGCTTTTTTTCGCTGGTATGAAATTGCGGCTTTATTACGCTTGTCCCATTTGCTCCAATTTCAACGAGAGAGCGCGATATACGCAACGTAGGCAGACAAATAGATACATACATACGATACGTACCTATTCACCGATTTTGTCTCGTGTCAATAGGCGGTGATCGCGTATGGTTTATCCGAGTTTTGCGAGGACCGAAGGAAAGGAAGACAACGTGTGAGATCCACAACGTCCACAAGCGCTACGGAAAACGACCAAGTGTTGGCGACATGCGGCTATGACGTTTTTAAAATTCACCCGAGCGAAATATATTGCTGTTATGTAGTACGATGACGTATAGACGTCAAGATCACACGGAGTACTTATTTTTTTTCAGCTGTTATCATGGGATCTAGATTAAGGCAAGTCTGTTTTTCTTTCCTGTGCAGAGTCGCAGATTTCGATATAAATTCCTTTTGAGTGAGACGTGACGAGAGCATAGTTTCACTTTTGCATCGTAGTCAGATGGTTCTGCAATATAGAACGTTTCCGTTTCGTTCAACAGAATGTATTTTATATTGTAGATAGGGACGAAATCTCAAATTCAATATGTAATAGAAAAAATCCGAGTCAAATCCAATAATAAAGTGTTTTATTTTCTAGAATTCAAGTAATATTTTATGCAAAAATAATATTTTGAACATTGTACAATACTTGCGAAGTAATCAATCCCGACTAGTTAGTTTTGTATCTTAGAATGAATACCTACGAGATTCGAAATATACATACTTATAAGGCTGCGGTCCACTTGACGCTACAAATGCTTCGAAGCATTTCTCTTCTCCTTTCTTTCAATGAAGAAAACGGGAAGAAGAATTCAAAGCATTTGCAAGTGGGCCGCAGCCTAAGTAGTTTCTAAAGTTTCTATTGTAAAGAATCGAATTTTTTAAAAGTAGTACTCGAACAGTAGAACTCTAAGAGTGAAGTTGTCAGTTTAAAGATTTTTAATAACTTTTATTCCATAGGTATTTTTAACATATTTTTATTATAATTTCAATGATCGATAATTTCTTATTTGTAATTTATAAAAATAATTGTTGCCTTATACAAACGTTTTGATTTATAAGAAGACAAAATTTATAGTGAAATACTCATTAAAGGTTTGTACATATTTGATCCAAATTTGAACTCACTTGAAAGTAATACTCTTGTTTTTCGAGGTACTCATAGAGAATTTAAATCAAATTTTATTCAAGTCTACTTTGAGCTTACTTAAAAGTAGAACTACTTAAAAGTAGTTCTATTGCTTTTATTTTTTTATTTATAAAGAGTTTGAAACAGATTCCAACTTATAAGATACTTAATCCTATCGCGCTAATTGTAACATAATCAAGTATAACCAAACCGAATAAGTACATTTATTATGCCAACAAATAATTAACAAATATTTTTTGCAATAAATAAATTATTTAATTTATTCAAAATTACATCAATTTAGAAAGATTAAAACCCATGTTGATTTATCGAAATGTCTTGACGATTAATCTGATCAAAACCGATGGTCGATTTGTCATGATGATAGCCAATTGAGTCGATTAAAAAATCTTAATTTATAATCATTACCCTTAAAATTTTGTTGCAATACCTTCGAAGCTCACAAGCTGTATTTTATTCAAATTGCATAAACGTGGGTATTTTCTGTAATATTTTCAGGGAAAATGTCAAACAGCTTTTTGAATGCTTCTGCGAGGTAGCCGCATCAATAGGAGAAAAGCCAGCTTGGATACTCCAGAAATATCCCAATTCCTTTTCGGATGAAGAGATACTTAAATCCGTTCCTAAATTTGCATATCCTTGCGAATTTGAAAAGTATATTGACATTAATTACTATGTGATTGTGAACTTTATCTACCTTTATCATAATATATCTGTTACATCTTTCTGTTTTAGTTTATTGGTACAGCACTTTTCGTTCGTGCTTACTAGCATAGATTCAAAATGGACTTTTGGATTCTGCCGTCACGATCCCAAAACAGAAACGGCTTTAGTAGTCCTGAGTGCACTTCCGTGGCACGAAACATTTTACAAGTTAGTTAAAATGTATTAATTAAATACTTTTACAAAATAGATCAAAATATGAAACTACGTTTTCATCGTATTATTGAATAGATTATTGAATCACATTGCATCCTTGACCAGCAATGCCAGCGGAGAAGATCTGTGGAAATTTCTTGAGAGTGTACATACGTGTGGAGTTCCAGTGCCTGGAAACTCCCTATCCATCCCTTTACCAAATTCTACATTAGTAAATAAATTTTTGAAATCTATCGCAATATCATAATTTGTCAAATTGACAAGTGTATTTAAATTATTATTAGGATAAATTTTATGTTATTTTTCTGATATACGGACTGTTTTCTAATGCTCTTTTTAATATTACATTATTTTCAACGCATTAAAAATATTTTATTTCTTTCAGAATTTTATTTGTCAAAGCCCAAAACAGTTTCAATTACCTAGTATCCCTGAAAATGTAAGTATGTTATATCAACAGCTTATTTACACACACACACACACACACACTCACTCACTCACGCATGCACGCACGCACGCACACACACACACACACACACACACACACACACAAGGTGTTCCCAGTTTAAACGGCTAAATTTGAAATATAAATTTAGATCTTAAAAAAAGAAAAATTTTTCTCTAGAAGTATGCTGGCAAACGCTTTGTTCAAGAGATATTGATTTCTGAAGTTACAGAATTATTAGGAATAAATAAAATTCGAAATAATATAGATTTATCCTTTTTACTGCTAAATTATAATGAAAATTAAAATAATTATCCTCTTTACTGCTAAACAGTAATCAAAATTAAAACAATTATCCTTTTTACTGATTAATAACAATCCAAACTTACAGTAACCAAAATTAAAATCATATTTTCTTTACTGCTAAACATTAATCAAAATTAAAATAATTGTTGCCTTTACTGCTTATAGTAATCAGCTTTACACTAATCAAATTTAAGTATTAAATATTTTATTCAAAATGATGACTTTCTCCCTAGCCCAGAGACAATCATTGCATCTATGGGTGAGAGAACAAGTGGCTAATGACATTGTGTGTCTGTTATTTCTTCGCACGCTTGCACTATCGTCTGTTTTAAGACGACCTTCTGATTGAAGGTCATTAACAGCCATTTCATATACTTTTTGCTTGAGAACACCGCATTCAAAAAATCTATTATTATTAAATCATTTTGACCAAGATATTACTTAAATTTTGATTACTGTAAAACAGTAAAAAGAATAATTATTTTAACCCTCGGTGGTCACACCTTTTTTTCAAATACGTTTGTCACACGGGATCAATTTGACTCCAACCAATTCAAGCACCTGCTGTTCAAAAACTAACAGTTTGGACAGGATCGCAAAAAATTCTAGAATTAAGTTTAAACATTATAGAATGTATTCTTAGGTATTATGTTCAAAAAATCCTAAAAAAAAATGTAAATTTCGAAAAAAATCAAACTAATTTTTTAATATTTTTTGCTCAAAATTTTGCATAGTACTCTTAAAATATGTTACTTGAAAAAATATGGTCATTTTAACCCCATGTGACAACCAAGGGTTAATTTTGATTACTGTTAAGCAGTAAAGAAAATAATTTATTTAATTTTGATTAATGTTTAGCAGTAAAGAAAATAATAATTTTAATTTTGGTTACTGTAAATTTGGATTACTGTTTAGCAGTAAAAAGGATAATTGTTTTAATTTTGATTACTGCAATACTTAGCAGTAAAGAGGATAATTATTTTAATTTTGATTACTGTAAAGCAATAAAGAGGATAAACCTACATTATTTCGAAATTATTTATTCCTAATAGTTCTGTAACTTCAGAAGTAAATATCTCTTGAACAAAGCATTTACAAGCATACCTCCAAAGAAAAATTATAATTTGAAAATAATTCAAAAAACATTAAAATAATTTTTAAAAATTTGTCTAGAACATAAAATTGTTGTCAAATATCTCTAAATTGTGGTTTTATTGTTTCAGAGGAACTTGACTGAATATTATAGCGCTGTAGATTCGCACAATATGATGATGATATTCGCATCTATGTTATACGAACGCCGTATCATTTTTATTTCAAAACGTCTATCAAGATTGAGTGCATGTGTACAAGCATGCAACGCTTTAATTTATCCAATGATTTGGCAACATATATACATCCCCGTTCTGCCATTATCATTAATAGATTATTTATTAGCGCCTATGCCATTCTTAATTGGTGTGCCTACCCTGACGCTTCAGGTACCTATAACAAAAATCTTTCAAGAATATTATTTAAAATATATTATTATTATTTATAATACATACGTTTTGTATGTACATTTTAATATTATATATACATGTATTATTTGTATAATATTGTTTGCAGAAAGTACCCAAGAGTGATTTAGGAGAAGTTGTTATTTTAGATGCTGATAATAATACAATTGAATCACCGTTTCAAGATCTGGAGTCTTTACCTCAAGACGTAGTGCGTAAAGCGATATACCACTATGATACAATAAGATAACGTATCTTTAAGGATTAATATATGTTTTAAGTAATAAAATAAAAAGTTTCTATGTTGTAGGTAACGAATTTGAAGAAAGCGTTACGCAACAGGCCAGCTCTTCTCGGAGATGGCGTATCAAGGGCATTCCTGCGTGCGTTAGTGCAGTTAACAGCAGGTTATAGAGAAGCATTAACTTTACAGCAGGGTGAGCGTATTACGTTCAATCAAAATGCATTCGTCGAAAGTAGGCCATCTTCTATGCAACCCTTTTTACGAAAGATGTTGGAATTACAAATTTTCCAACAAGTAAGTAAGTGCGCGTTATAAATATAGCATAATTATAACTGCTCGATACAATATAATAAATTTTTTGGGGTATTTTCAGTTTATAGAAGAAAGGCTGAACATGCTCAATTCAGGACTCGGTTTCTCGGACGAGTTCGAAATGGAAGCCTGCAGTTATTCAGCCAAATCAAGTAGTAAATTTATGCAGCAGTATAGGGAATGGACTTACACCATGCGAAAAGAAAGCTCCGCATTTTTCCGTAGTGTAAAAGATAAGGCATGTTACATTAACATTTTAATTAGATCAGATTCAATATCAGTTTATCTCCAACATCTAATATCTGCCTTTATTATAAAATAAAATAAAACAATGTTTTATCGATTGCAGGCTAATCCAGCAGTAAAATATGCTGTTAAATCAGTAAGTTTAAAGCACATTACTTTGCATTATATACAGTATATTCTTTTTCTCGTTAACATTTTTGATCGTTATTCATAACTTTCTGTATCATTTAGTATCTATTGGAGTATAGTAATATAGTCGATAGTTAATGGAAGAAATATGTTGTAAAAATTGATATCCACAGGTGAAAGATAAAGGCAAAGATATGAAAACGGCATATAAAGGATTAAAGTGGAAAGGTGTGTTTTTTCGTGATGTTGGTACATATAATCTTTATTTATGTTAAATATCTATTTATAAATATTTGTTTGGAGGACAGGACGGTCTAATAGAAGTGAAACCAGTATGAGATTTCACCAGCCACGATCGGCTCCTAGCTCGCCTACATTAGACAGAAGACCTATTGGATTTACATCCCCACCAAAGTCTCCAAATGGTATATCAGCAGCAACTAGTTACCGAAAGGACTTGCGTTTGCGGAATAGCAATTTCACTGATACAAGGTATATACAATCATTTATGTATTGATCATTTCTTCGTATCACTAATATAGGGTTGTGTGGGGTGATGTGCAACGTTGGTCTGCATGTCGACATATGACAGAACCGCATACTGCCATGTGTTTGTGTCGACAGTACCTTCACATTCATAGTGATTTCGTGAATTGGTTTTAGTCATCTTATAGGTAAATATTTTTATATTGTTAGTTTTTCAAGTGCATTTGATAATCCAAAGCAATTTTGTGATTTCCTTACATTGTGTTGGTGTCACGCCAGTCCGCGCAAAATAGCGTGTTTGGGGTGATGTGCAACACTGTGTCGACATGCAAGGGCGCAACTATTTTACTTGTGATAACTGCGATTCAGATGATGAAAAATAAAATTTTTAGCGTTTTTTCTTTCATTATATTAATTTTTAAGCGATAAATAAATAAGAAATAAAATAAAAAATGATTGTTTTTTTGTGGTCGATTACAACACAGTGAAATTTTCTGTTCACCGGTTTCGATTAATTTGTATTTAAGAAGCTCAAATTTAACATTTAAGTCGATTGATGTCGATATTCATGCATTTTTTACCGTAATTTTACCTGTGTTGCACATCACCCCAAAAAAATTTGAAAATGCTAAAACAGACGTTTTTTTGAAAACTCGAAAAATTTTTAGGAAAAATTTAAAATTTTGAAAATCTAATCACGCAGAATTTTAGTATTTTCCTTCCTCTACATTATACAGCCATAATATATCCAAGAATTTGATTTTTGGATATGTTTTCCGAGCAACGAAAAAAAGTGTTGCACATCACCCCACACAATCCTAATTTATTCTTATACTATTTAAACTATTTTTTTATATTACTTAAATGTCAGATTAAATGTTTTATTGTAAAATTCCTACACAATTATTTCCAAAACTCCATTATCCAAAAAAATTTTTACATATAAAAATATAGATATTTATTCAAATCAATTCTCTTCACCGTTTTGCATATGAAAATTATTATGATAAAATTATCGAAAAATGAATATTTCATGATATTTTATATATATGTTATGGTCAAAGCCCCCAAAACGCGGGCAAGGATTGACTAATCAATTTTGCCGAACGGCTAAGCGTCAAAGCTTTGTAGTAATTTGCTAATATATGTGTGTATAGACAGTACATAAATAGGCGAGAAAAAGACTCCGCCACAGGCGGAGAAAGTTATGCGTGCGTGCGTATATATATAACTTTATGTTTTATATAACGTTGTAAGCTGTTTTTTTACCCAAAATTATAACATTAAGCATAGCAAAGAGATTTCTCTTGTTTTTCGCAATTTATATAAAAATAATATAGAAAGGCACTAATTTGTCTTCTCCAGGTAGTTCAAGGAAAAAATTCAATTTTATAAAAAAAGTATGAAACTATAAAAACAGAAAAAATTGTGTTTGGAAGATAATTGCATGGAAAAATTAAAATGGGACATCTCTTATATAAATAGAATTTTATTATGTTCATTATTATTTATATTACAGTAGAAAACAATACTCACCTTTAAGTCCTAGTTCTCCTGAAGAATCAGACTCTCCATTGGAACGTATAAATATAGATCTTATGCACGAACTTCGAGATGTGATATTTCCAAATACACCGCCTGTGGATAGGACAGTAAGTCTTCTACAGTTTACATAATACTTATACATTACTATTTTGCAATTTACATAAAGAGTACAAACTTATTAGTTGTCGAAAACGATGAAGGTATATTCATATAAATGAAGTATTGTACCTTTTTTTTACAACTGCACACATCTTCATGCTTTTAATTCTTGGCTGTAGCAAAAATATTTAATATATTGTAAGCAAATTTGATCCAATGCCAATTTTTTAAAATAAATTATCTGTTTGCTTTAATCATATAAATCTCTGTTGCTTTTTGTGAATCGTTTGTTCGTGTCTTTAACAAGCGATGAACCTTATCATTTTCATGTCCAACGTGAAACATTATGAGAGAAAATAGTTATATACAGCATGTGCCCTCATAAATTACGTCCAACGAAATATTAGATGTATGCATAGATGTCCAATTCGTAGGGAAATATTTTGCATGCTCGTACTTGAATCGTCCACTTAAATTTTCCATCGGCATTACTTTATATTCTCGATTCTTCAGTTATTATAATATAAGTCATTTAAATATCTACCTGACTTGGTAAAGCAGTTACTTGGATAAATTAGATTGATACATGTTAACATGTTAAAGATATCTTTTTACAAATATTATTGTTTTATCAAATGTTTTATGCTATGCACCATCTCTGTATTATTAAATGTAATAGCACACAATTCTGACTGATAATAATTCCAAGTAAACATACTCGTGTGCCATTATCATGCATGCGTCACATATTGAGAATCAATAAAATTTAGACATTTTGTAACTTGTATCAGTTAATTTCTTGTAAAGAGGAAAAGTAAAGATTTGTCGTTGCATCACTTTCAGTTGAAACCAGTACGCAGTTTAGACAGCTTGAGACCTGCATGGAGTGGGCACTTACGGCACGGCCCTCTACCTAGTACTATCATTACAAATCCACGCAAAGTTTCTTCGACAAAGCAAATTTTATTTTCCTCCTCCTCTCATCCCCTTCCCTCAAACAATTCGGGTAATCAATTGAAACCGTTTACTTCTAATTCAGTGACTACAAAGTCAAATAGTACCATGGAGATTGAAACGTCACCTTCACCTGTATTGCCCGTGTTACACAATCAAAATGCTCAACCAAATCAATTTTTACGTGAATTGCATGTACATAATGATTTCGTAAAACCTGTCGTTAACTTATCATCGTGCATTCATGAAAAAGAGAATGCGAAATCTCAAGAGAGATTTTCTTCAAATGATAGAAAATTCAATCCGAAAGATTGTCACATTTTTACACGTGCCAATCCAATTCCAAATACATGGGATGACGAACCTTTCAATAGATCTTTCAAAACGTCAAATTTTCTTCACGAAGTAAACGAAGATGATCCTTTCGATACGAGTAGAGTATTCACGCCTACTTATTTGCAACAAGCTGCGCCACTTTTTAAATCCACGATTTCCTCGATGCCCGCTCAATTTCATCCATTATCACATCCATTCGATACTACATCCTGTTCTGCACAGGCTAAGGTAAACATCATCGTTCACTATCTTTTATATCTATAAAACATTCCGATCAATTTTAGTTCGTGATTGTTGGGCCCGCAAAGTATGTGAAAATATAATACTCGAGATATTTCAGATTTACTGAGCTATTCAGTCGCAAGTGCCAAAAACCAACTTGAAAAAATTAAGTGCTATTTTTCAATATCAAGATAGCACTTATTATCGCGAATCAAAGGATTTAAGTTTCAAATCTCTCTGATTCGATAATAAAGTCTTCAACAAGGAGATTTAAAATTTAATTATCGAGTGGCTTAAAAAAATAAAAACTCGGTAAATTTATCTTTCCAAAATTTAGTTTCTTATTTATAATATTTCCACTGTCGTGTTTTTGTCCACGTCCTCAACTTTTGGCTGTGGTAAATTTTGTAGTAATTCATGTACGAACGCAGTATCAAATTGTCAAACGATAATGTCCAATAATTTTAAAAATGCGTATACAAAATAAACTATTTTCATGTATCACTTTATACGTACTTCAACTACATTTTTTATTTTAGAAAAAAGTTTTGGAAGAAAATAAAAAGTTTTAGAAGGGTATGCAGAACATGTACACATGTTTTATAATATGAACTTTTTTACGAGATACTAACGTCTATTTTTTTTAAATGGAATTATATGATTTTTCAGTAATTTGATTCTTTAAATTATTCTACACTCTGTAAGACAGTCATCGAGAAAAATCAATACTTTATGAAATATTACATTTTTTTATGTTAACACACTTTATAAAAATTCCGTCAAATATTGCTTTTCGATTATTTCACTTTAATATTTTTATATACAGAATAATAAATAACAACATATTGATATAAATATAAAAATTAATTTGTAATTTGTAATTGTGTATTTCTTCTATATAACAGATGCATGGTATAAAAAATTTGTTATATATCATCATAGTTTTCCCTTAAAATTGAAATTTTTATTCTATTTTTTCCGAAGTGAAAAACAACTGATGTACTCATGATGATACAGTAGAATAGCTCATTTTGTATACAAAAGCTACATACATATATCATGCACATTAACTCAATCATTACCACTAAAAAATAACATTTTGATACTGCAAGTTGAATTCGCGTTATCCTCTCACATATCAAATGCTGCCTGAATTCATTAATGAAAATTAAACGACCGGTACGTGTTTTTTTCTTACAGGATTCTCCCGATGTCCCAGATTTGATACGGCTAGATTCAACAAACAGCAACGACGATTTCGATCCGCTTCTATCTAAATCTTCCGAATTTTCGAGCACAAAACAGATGAGCCAATCGTTACATTTACCTGAAATGGGTGAAGGTCTCAGTAACCCCTTATACCCTTATTTTCAACAACCGTTGCACAAAAACAATGAGAAGGCGAAAACCTCTGATAATGTGGGTGATATGGATTTATTACAGGCGTATGGTATAGACTTTAATAAATTTAGCTTATCCAATGGTGATAATCCATCCGCAATGAATACCGCCGCGTGTAATCGAAGTGATAACAGTATTAATAACACGATGGACACATTCAGTTTAACGCTGAATACACCTGCCATTAAATCACAAAATAATTGGACGAAGTTTGAGTAAATATTAGTATTATATATATATATATATATATACATATATATGCCTACACACATTATAATTGTAAATATATCATTAGTATTTTGTTATGCATTTAGATACCTTTATCAGCAAACAGTCTCATTAACACTCCTTTATAAGATCATCTCATCATGTTAGCCAATAATTATCATGTTATACACAGAATCAACCGCCGGAATACTGTTTTGCGTCGTAAACGACATATACTTATGTACTTTGTATACTTTCGTATTAAAAGCCAATGGCATCTGTGCATGCATATTTCGGCCAGTGCGATATTTCTGTTTCTATCATATAATAAGTATCTTTTCTGCTACATTATTATTCGTTCACGGATTGTGCAATGCAAGAATATAATATTTTTATTTGGTAGCAACAACATAACAAAAAGACTTGAGGAAATAATATAGGTTTGGACGAACTAAAAATTTAGATACTTTAATACTTTAATGTTGATAATGTACATAATTAACGTATTGAAAACCCGCAAAAAACATATTACGTTTACAAAAATAACAGTATTGTTTATTGCTTATATAATACTGTCACATCCTCTTACAAAATTCTAAGGTATCATTATAATTTCTACGTTACATTCACCTCTATCTACATCTTACAAATTTTCATGAAATACTCAATTACATATATGAGTACAGTTTTATAACACATTCGTAGATGCTCAAACATATTTACTGCAATGAAAGCGACTGCATATATGCAATAGCGAAGGAAACTAAGTGAAACGAACATACCGTACAATTTTATAGTTTAGATTATTGTTAGATATATCAATTTTAATAATTGTTGCACATTTATTGGCAATGCTTTATAATAAATTAATGCAAAAAAATAAGATGCACCGTTTCTAGCATATTTATCATATTTGTTAATATCCCGTTATCATATCCTACATATACGCAATACTACATATAAAATTTAAACATATTCTAATAAAATTACTTAAAAATCCTCATGCCTTACTGCTATTTTCTAATTTTTTCGTTTAAAGGTGGAAGCACATAAAATTGCAGGAGCCATGAGCACGAATGCAGAAGCCATATGCGCATGCGCTATGTTGTCTGCATACTGTCTATGGTTTCTGAATTTTCAATCTACATAAAAATACATAAGCATAGTGTATGTAGATTGAAAATTCAGAAGCCATAGGCAGTATGCAGACACCATAGCACATGCGCATATGGCTTCTGCATTCGTGCTCATGGCTCCTGCAATTTTATGTGCTTCCACCTTAAACATACTCGAGAAACAGCCGTTTAACGACTATCGAAAGGAGGTGAAAACGTTCCTTCCGCATGCAAATCTTACTTTTCAATTTTACGACTTTCACGAATACGTTAAACGTTAGAGCACAAGCACAGAGCGAATAATAAAGAAATAGCATGCACAACAAAATAGATTGTCAACATGTCACAAAGGACAGAATTCTCCATTGGAGAGAGTTCTGATTTCTGCCGCGACGGTACGTCGCCACCGTCAACGCAGAGTTCTCGGCTCAGGACGGGGGACCGACGTATAGTTGGCAAACAAATTAAAAATTATTGAAAATTATCTTATCCAATCGTTTGGAAATTATTTGGAGATATTTGGAAAAAACTTTTCAGAGTTTGGAAAACCATACAATAATCACAATTAATTATAATTAATTAAGCGTATATTAGCAGAAAGTGCCTAAAAAATGTTTTTTTTTTAATCCAATCGCTCCAGAATCATTTGGATAAAATGTCGATATAATTTTTATTATTTAGAAAACAACTCTATTCTAATAAAAATTAATTAAATGTCAATATTTCGTTTTAATGCCTGCACTATAGTGCAATAAAGTGCACATACTTTTCTATGTATGTTTTATTGGTAGCCAGGCTGTGTTTCGATATTGACTGTAAGTACTGAAAATCTAAAATGTTACATACGTCATCACTTTTTCAGTACTTTATAGTCTACTAGACTATACGTCGGCTTGGAGTCGGTTATTACTCCAGCGTTACTCCATCCATTTTGGAGTAAAATTAATTAGCACGAAGATCCAGCTCTGACCGATGACGACTTTACTTATTTAATTTGTTGTTTTCATGTATCGGTCGATATTCTATATTCTGTTTTAAAAATAATTATCTACACTACGGTACTGCTTCAGGGGCACAATGAGGAGACTGGTGTGAACAGCTACGTGTTAGCATTAAAGCTTAAAGCCAAAAATTGACTTCCTAGGCCCTACATTATGTTGCACTGAACATAAAGTAGTTAACCTAACTTCAAAATCTTGTTGAAACTTTAAAATTCTTTTTTTATCAATACTTTAACTAATATGGTAATTATACAATAATACGGACCACCTTTCGATGACCTTGACCTTGACATATATTGTCAAGGTCACCCTCCTGAGTGACCTTCAGAAGTTTTTAGCCGGCGGTCGTTATTCGTTAAAAATTATCACTGGTTTAGTACACACTTAAGGCCATTGCACGTAACAAAGTTTTAGTC